GCAAACTAAATGCTCAGAAGAGTACAAAATAGTAGGGAAATCGTTGTTTCACGAGAAAAATATTATTGGGTAGAAGTATTCCCATTTTCCCCTCTTTTCTACTATCTTCAACTCCCAAGGGGGGAAAAATTGCATTTCCAACTTTAATCCTCTCTACAAACCAGACAATCCAGGTCACCTTTTGTATTTGAGTTACAAAGCATTTGACTAAAGTCACATATATAATCAACTGGAAGAACCAGGACTTGAACCAGGTTTCCCAACTTATAGGCCACTTTCATTATGGTTCTTGGTCAGTCTGTGTTTTGGTCAGCTTTTTCATCACTGTGACCAATAGATCTTACAAGAACAATTAGAGGAGCTGAAGTCTACTTAGGGTTCATGATTTCAGACGTCTCAGTCCATAGATGGATGACTCCATAGCTCTGGGCCCAAGTGAGGCAGAACATCATGACGGAAGGTGGGGCAGAGGAAAGTAGCTCAGGACATGGCAATCAGGAAACAGAACTCTGCTCTCCAGGGACAACATAAAAACTTCAAAGGCATGCCCTCAGTGATCTATCTCCTCCAGCTACATACTACCTACCTATGGTTATCATCCAGTTCATTTCTATCAGTGGATTAATCCACTGACTGGGTTACAACCTCCATCATCTAATCATTTCACCTCTGACTCTTCTTGCATTTTTTCACACAGTAACCTTTTGGGGGATACCTCATATCTAAACCACAACAGTCTGTACCCAGTACCAGTGGGAATTTCACTCTGCCTTAAGGAATACCTCACTGCACACAGCATCTTCTCCATGGGGAATTTTTGTTTGTTTTAAAATATGTTTCCTGGAGACCATATGAATACACATTATATAACTAGTAAATGCATAAAATTCAATAGATAAACAGTCTCACTGCTTTCTAACCACATCCCAATCTTAGCTCAGTATGCATCCTAGTACTAAAATGAATTGGACTTCTTAATTTTGACTAGAAGCTCAGGATCTGTGAAAAGCAACACAGCAATGAATTCCCAAAAGCTTTTTCTGGGCAACTAGAAGCCTCCTATGAGTCACGGAGATTCAAATCCATATCCCATTGAAGCTACCTCCTGGCTCTTATCCTGAGGTAAGAGTATGTTCCTTCCTTCTATGATTTTTTTGTAAATATTAAATGAGACAAATTCCTAGCATGAAGTCAGTGTTAAAGAAATTATCACCATGCATTTGCATTGATTATCAATATTTCTATACCTATGTTACTAAGACTGAACTAATGAATAGATAGGGTCTGATCTATAGGTTCAGAAAATAAATTTGTTTCCAATGCGTAACTAGGCAGGTCATTCTGTTTCACTCAGTTGAACAAGCCATACTGAGGGCTTAATATTTGCTAGACGCAGCATTAGTCCTGGACCATAAGAACTAACAGATATTCAGTTTCTCCCTTCAAGTTGCTGACAATATAGACCATACTAGACAGATAGACCTCCTGCATGGTTTTGTTCTGTTTGTTGTTTTGGGTACTGGGGATTGAACCCAGTACCTCACTCATGCCAAACACTTGCTGTACACTAAACTGTACATCCAGGCCTCTCTTCCATTCTTAAAGCTCTCTAAGGAAGATCTCACCACATTGTTGGGAATCACCACATTCAACTTTCAGATATCTGAGGAATTAGTGTGTGTGTGTGTGTGTGTGTGTGTGTGTGTGTGTTTTCAATTCATTGAGAATCAGTGGATCTCCATTTCTTCTTATTTTATGCCCCAGAAAAAAAAGAGTACACATTTAGTCACCATTCTTCATGTAACAAGCCTTCATTCCCTGAGAGTTATTGAGTTATTCCTCTGTCTTCTCTTTCTAGATTAAATAATTCCAATCCCTTTAACCTTTCCTCGGAGGTCCTATTTGCTAGGCTTCAGTTTAATCATTTTCATTGCTTCCCCCCTGGAGCTTCTCCAAGTGGTCTGCATTAAAATATGTTGCTTTGCCATTGAGTTCACTCTTCAAAGCAACTTATCCCTTCACATAAACCATGGCAAAAGGAGAGCAGCCCCCAAATAAAAGGAGGACTTTAGAGAGACGTAAAGAAATATTTCCTAGGTAAGGAACTCATGTAGAACACTCAAAAGCTCAAAGCAAATTAGCATTTTCTGTCACACTATTAAGGAGAAAGTCCTAATACATGAACACTTTTTAAACAGTGCCACCATTCTGCTTGACAATTATCTAAATTACTTGTAAGTGGATAAGACTATTAACAGCAAACTGGAGATTTGCTGTAGTTATACCTAAGATTCTCAGAAGGGCACCAATAAAATCACTGTAGTACTAAAGTTAATAAGATCAAGCAAGCATTCTGTAAAATACCTCTAGTCATCAGATTGACAGTAGAGAGCTTATCATATTAATTATAGGCAGTGCCTTTGGTCAGTTTTGGCACATGAGAAGCATCTTTCTTTCTTACATCCATCTTTCTTTCTTATATCCATCAAAATAATTAATATTTCTTGGGCTTAAAGTGCAACAAATTCCAATGGCTCTTAAGAAATGATGTATAGAGGTTAATTCAATACATACTGGTCATAGCACAGCACCAACATGTGCAGAAGGGGCGAACACCAGAACTCTAGTACAGTATCCCATCAAGATGTGCACAGTGACTTGAAAGAAACTTCTTTTTACAAATTCCTCTCACCCTTTCCCTCTTATTGTACCCTTGAGACTATGCAGCCTCCTGTGCACCAGCAGTATACAAACGTGCATATGGATACGTGCGCGCGCACACACGTACAAAGTTAAGATTCTTCTATCAATTTCCAAATCATCTAAAGAAACTATGAAAACTCTTGCTGGGTAATATTCAGGGACTTCTATATTTTAAAACTATTATTAAGAATAACATGGTTTGCTTTCCCCATTTGGAAAAGTTAAGAGTGTACAATTAGGGTGAAAGTTTTGGTTGGAAAGGATGGTGGAGAGGGGGGTCCATGCATCCTCCAGGCTGACTGGTTCAAACAGGTTGGAGCCATACCTAGTTCCATTTCCAAAGCTACCTTGACTTTGGGAAGACCAGGTCTGGCCTAGAAATGGTGGGCTGAGAGAAGTCTGTCAACATCAGGCATGGGAGAACCAGCTGCATTCTGGAAAAGACTCTGCCAAGTTCTCTGAATATTCTCTCAGTTCTGAGTTCAAAACACATGCATGGTTTGGTGTTGAATTTTCCCAAAGAGGTGTAGTCTCAGAGGCAATCCAATCTATCAATGATTTAATTCCCCAAATTTACAGAATTAATATTGTTATCCTTAAATAATTAGCAATTAGGATGCCAAGAACTTACCATAGGATAAGAACAAGAAACAACCTTGGGGGTAAAGGCAGATCATTCACCAGTTGTTTAATTGTCAAGAGTTGACCCAATGTGTCTCTCCAATTCTCCATTTCTCCATGATCAGGCACATATCTCAGCTGTTCATGTCATCCAGTGAAGGAAAGTCAGTGTATGCACAGCTGAGGTCTGGGAGCACTAAAACAATGGGCATTTAAAGCTATGACATATGCAACAGCTATGTGTTGAGAAATATATGTTGTAGCTTAATTGTTCTTATTTTTATAAAAGCAAGCTTTCATGGGGCTGGGGTTGTGGCTCAACGGTAGAGCGCTCGCCTAGCAGGTGCAAGATGCTGGGTTTGATCCTTAGCACCACATAAAAATAAATAAAATAAAGATATTGTGTCCAACTTCAACTAAAGAAAAAAATTTTAAAAAAAGCAAGCCTTCAATAATGAACTGGAACTACAGATAGCCTCCGATTTCATTTATTTGCTGGTAAAGACAGTCTTGTACAGTCTTATCAAGTGGTTAGAAAGTAAAAGGAGGGCAAGATTATTGACATATGCTGTCAGGCTACCTTGTAGTGGCTATGGCAAGTAGCCAGTGATACTAGACACAACTCAGTGCTGATTCTCTTTACCCAAATGTGTACTTAAAAGACTTATACCAAATTTTTTTTTAAACCAGTGATTTGTACCACCTGTTCTAATCCATTGTATTTTGGGGAATAATTTTTATTCCATTTGAATTTGGAAAATATTATCAACTAATATTGAACACTAGCATCCCTACATTGGGAAGGCCAAAAGAAAAAAAAAATGCAAGAAAGTGATTAAATAAATAAGGGAAAGGGGGGAAAATATAGACAAGAAGTGAAAAACTAAGATTGGTGAATTTTTTAAAATGCACCTGAAATGAACAGTTGACTTCTGCAGTAAAGCTTTTCTGAACCTGAAAAAATAGAATAAAATTCCTGCTGATTTTCAAACCATTTGGGTCATTCTTTAAAAAAATAGAAGAAGAAGAAGAAGAAGAAAAAAAAAAAAAGATAGCCAGCAAATTAAAGGAACTCCATTTATAAAAATCAAATGAACCTTTAACAAAGCTTGTTTGGGGACATGAATAAATCATCTGGTCATGAATTATTCATTGTTATCAAGAAACAAGCTGGGGTTTCCAGGAACTGGGCTCAGGAGGTGCTGAATCTGGGGAGCGAGTGAGCTTATTTTCTCACATCCACCCCACGAAGGGAGAGAATCAACCATGGGCACCATCCAGTCCCGCAGACCATGCCAGTACTCCCCTAGTGTGTTCAGGGTATGCTTTGGCAATCTTTAAACCCCAGAGATTAAGTAAAATTTAATCCATAGAACCTAAATTAAGAAAATCATACATACTCAGTAAGCAGACAGTAAGATTCTTGAGCATTGTCTCACTCTTTTTTTTTTTAAATGCATGATATACATGGAAAATATGAGCTATGTGCAAAACACAGTAAGCTGAAAGTTTCAAAGGGATGCATAGAAAGTTCCTTGATGTTAAGTTGCTCGCAGAGTCTGACCCCTTTGTTCATATCTTAGGGGATGGGATTGCTCTTGGGGGACAGAGGCATGGGAGCGAGAAGGGGAGTTTCCCAGATTTAATCAACTAATCGATGCATGTGTGTGTTCCAGGTCCAAACTGCTTTGCAGGAACTACAATAATTCCGGCTGGCATTGAAGTGAAAGTGGACGAATGTAACATCTGTCACTGTCACAACGGGGACTGGTGGAAACCTGCTCAATGTTCAAAGCGCGAATGCCAAGGCAAGCAGACTGTGTAGGACAAATTTCCAACCAATGACGAGTTCTTAGGAAAGAATGCTATGGCTTCTACACTGCACATGTTTAACACAAAACAAAACAAACAAACAAACTCCTGCCAGCTACAACAGGGTCACCAGCAAAACCTTTTAGGGTTGACAAAAGTGAATATTTTACTAAGAGGAAATTTCTCTCTTTTTCTCTTGCTATATAAAATATATATGGTATATAGCTATCTAAACCGCTTTTGTAATTACCAATGCTTGGTGGTGACTTGACGACTGGATTTCTGGAACAAAAAGAAAGAAATAGCCTTGCACAGGCTCCTTCCCTGGTGATGCCTTCGACCTGCCAGTTCACCAGGCCCTGATTTACTCCATTTTTCACTCTTCTGTACATCCTCCATGCCATTTCTCTTAGAATATTTTTTTCCACTATTAGAACCTAAAGGGCCAGATTTGACTACACAGAAAATTTTGAGATGTGTCAAAAAGGTTTATTAAAGAAGCATCAGGGGGAGCAGGAAGATGCAAGAGCATCCAACCAATCCCACCCCTGGAGTAAATAATATGCCCTGTAAGCTAAGAAAAGAGGGGTGCGCACACCAGCGGACCCTCTGCTGGACATGGTGGGCAACTGGTATTTTGTCCGTTATGTGGGGGCTCCTAATTTGATTCTTACAAACCACATATTTCATATACAAAACCTTGAAACTGCCAATCAAAAAATGAATAGGTAAAGAACACCAGGAGCTTGACTCAAGACTCCAAAGAGACACAGGTATTTAAAATGGTAGCATTAGTCATCAGACTTTTTCATGATGCTGAATTTGAGTTTGGTTTGTAACTAAACACACTGTAAACCCACTCTGTCACTGGGCAATATAAATACCAGAACCAGGGTGAGTAGCCCCACTGTGAATCTGAACCCTTCTGAACCTTTCTGACTTTCTAGTTCAGCTGTGCCTGAAAGCCAGAATTACACATGAGCAGTTTTTATGGTTCAGGACCACGTTTGCCATGTTACAGGAAAAAAAAAAAAACCGCTCAGCCCTAAGTCTAAAATACAGATTCAGGACACTTTTTCCACCTCAAGTGCTGACTTAAATTAAAGATTAGGGTAGAGTGAGTCTTGCACAATATAATTCCATTTGTTGAACATTTTTTAAAATGTATATATTAGATACTGAACTATTAAAGTGAACCTTCGAAGAGTCTCAAGGTTGCCCTGGAAATGCTGCTAGTATAGTAACAGAAAAATAAATAAATAAATAAAACATACAGGGTATCTGATGTCAGCTCGATCCAAGTGCAAAATTTGTAATTCTGAGACCACATGGCATAGTTAGTCACTTATTCCACTTGCCTGTCCTAAAAACCCTGGTGCAGATCTGATAGGGTTCTTGAGGAAACTTCAAGGTTGTCTTCATTACCAGTGTTCTTCTTTTTCTGCTCCCACTCTAACCTAGGTTTTGCAGTGGCTCCCGTGGAGTGCTATATTCTAGCTCAGGATGTCTCATCCTTAGTCATATCGACATTTTGGGCCAGATCACAATTTGTCAGTGGGGGCTGTCTTATACATATTTAGGATATTTTGCAGCATCCCTGGCTTCTGTCCACTAGGTGCCAGTAGCAACCCCCAGTGGTGACAACCAAATGTCTCCAGACATTGCCTAATGGCCCCAAAGGGGTGAGGTGGGTGCAAAATGTTAACTGGCTGAGAGTCAGTGGTCCAGAATAATCAGTGGAGTGGTTTCTGCTCTGGTTGTATGTGTGACTTGGGTAAGCCCTTGAGTTCTTTGGGACATGCACAAACAGCAGCCCTGGGGGGGGGGGGGGGGGGGGGGGGGGCGGTCAGTCGCCTCTGTAAGGAGTGACAATTCTAACAGCATAGGTCCACCTTCAGGACAATCATATTTTTAGTCTCATCAATTGGTTTTTTGTTGAAAATTGTCAGTCTCACCTCCCTGAAAGCATCTCCTGTCATCAAGAAAGAGTTGTCATTTCCAAAATTAATGTGCCGACAAGTTGGACCTGACACTTTAACGCACACTGTGCTTGTGTTATGATACAAATAGCAATCCCGGTGCCATCCCGAGGAAGAGCATCCAGCCGCCTTCCCTTAGAACACCAATTTGCGGCAAGGTTGGAGCCTTTCAGTTGCCACCATGGATACATCATATAGACAGTCATGAATCATTCATGAACAATTCTGCATGATTTATGCCTCCACTCAACAGCAAAGGCATTGCACACTTCAGCTCATGTCTAGACAGAGACGTATTATAGAGCTTTCTCTGCCCTGAGGTTGCCTGTTGCCAGCTTCAAAAATCCACACTCTTGGAAAGAAATAATAATCATAATAAATGACAGGAAAAAGGTCTGAAACCTCAGAACATATCATTAGTAGGGCCATGTAGCATAGTACCTTATCTATTATTAAGGAGTTACTATGTCCTTTTTCAGAAAACAGAAAGAGAGTGTAACTGGGAAGCTGAGGTACAGACATTTTGCATCAAAGTTTTGGTACAGGGACAGTCACAGCAAGAATTTACTAGAATGGAGGATAACATCCATCAAGATACTCTCATCAGAGGGTCTGCAAGAGGCAGCTACTTGGTGGCCTCTGTTACCAAGAGAGTCTTGTTGGGTTTCTAGCTTTTTTTTTTTTTTTTTCTTTTCCAGCTTCTCTGCAAGCTCCTTCCTTTAAGACTTTGTAGCACTGACATTTTTTTCCCCTTTAGGGAGAGTGATGAACCTATACTGTGACAGAATTTCTCCTAAACCGATCATCATTTTACAACTTCCTTCTACCCAGGTCATTGAGAAATTCTTTCCAAACTCTGAACAACATAGTTCTGGTCTGGTTGTTTTGTTTTGTTTTGATTTGATTTTTTTTTTTTCCTTTGAAGGCTTCGTTTGCAGCCACACTGTCACCTCTGTATTACCATTTCTCCTCTGCCTTTTGTTCTCTGGGTTCTCGGCTTTAACTACAGCTATGTTCGAATGAGGGATCAACATCCTGTTTGTAGGTCGATGCCTGTTAAAAATGATTCAGTTTCTAAAATCTTTGAAAAATGGTGTGCCTGAAAACTAGTGAGAAAAAAAAAACTAAACACTAAACTGTAAAAAGGGGATTCTAGCAACAATATTTGATGTGTAAAAGAATATATTATTAAAAAATTATTTTGTTAAATATAAAGTGTGTTAACCAGCAAACATTGTTTGTGGTATATTTTCCTTCCCGAATCTCTTTTCTCCCTACTCCCATTATTTAATGACTAGTTCTTGGTGACTTCTATCATCTGAAAGCACATGTGTCATTGGAGTAGCATTCAATTAGAATTATGCATTCGCGTTAGCATTTGCCTGTGTACAGTTTCATTTTTCATTACACAAAGGCCAACTCAGGAATCACAAAAAAGGCTCAAATGAACCAGCAGCAAATGGTAGGAAAAATCTTTCCTGACCTCATGGATATATTAAATACTAACGATAATCTATCATTATTGCATGTTCATGCCTCTCTAAGCTCTCAGTCCACAGGATGCCTTCAACCCATACAACACACCTCTGAGGGAGGAACACTCTAATTACTTCTTTGTCTTGAGAAAACTGGAACATGAGAGGTTAAATGCTCTGCCCAAGGTCACTGGACAGGAAGTAGCAAAGCGGAATGTCTTATAAAATTTTTCAAACTTTCACAAAAATTGAGAAAATATTATAAGGGGCCTCCATTCACCTATTTCCCAGGCTCAATACTTATCAAAATCTTGCATAATACCTTTTTTCCCTTAAATTTTCTTTAAAATAAGTATCAAGCATCATATCTTTTAGCCCTTTGCAACTGGCAGCAATTATCTCTGTTTAAAAAGTGGAGTTTTCTTGTAAAACCACTTTATTATACATTATTAAATCTAATAAAATTAGTAATTTTGTAGTAGATCTAATATAGAATCCATATTCAAATTTCTTAGATTTTCCAAGATATGGTTGTTCTGCCTCCTAAATTCAAAGTAGGGCTTTGAACTCTGCCAATTGCAGTTACGAAGTATGATGTGACCTTGGATATTTTTGTTATTTTAGGATTTGTGTTATATTTATATATATAACATATTTGTGTTATATTTATATATAATATATATATATATTATATATTTGTGCAATAATGATAGATTATCATTAGTATTTAATATATTCATTATTGTTAGTATTTAATATATTCATATATTTAATATATTCATTTGCTGCTGGTTCATTTGAACCTTTTCTGTGGTTCCTAAGTGGGCTTTTGTGTTCACAGGCAAATGCTAAAGAGAATGCATATTCTTTTCATTCCATGTTAAACTCCCTCCTAGACCCTGAGACTTATTGCCTTGAAAGCGAAATGAAGAACCCCAAGCAAGAACTGTTGCTGGTGGCCACCACCCAGAGGATAACACCTCTTCTGCACATAAGCTTTCCTCGGGAGTAAGAGTAAATTGTTATTTTCTTTCTCCATGAGACAAACATACTCCCTAATACAGAATCAAACTGGACAATATTTTGTAAATTGCTATCATCTGCATTGTTAGAGAAAGAAAGAAAAAAAGCTGACCACTAAGAAAACATCAACATGGTGTCCCCAACACACAACTACACAGTTCTACTCTTCCAATATTTCCTTAAAACAAGATTAGACTTTCTTGCATTTCAATTTCCTGTGTATCCAATTCTCCACTCCTTATGCCCGTTGTTAAAGGATTGTTTACAGTTCAATTCAGTCTCAGGTTCCAGGGAGAGGGCACTGGAAATCATGGCAGAAAAGCCATAAATGAAAAGTCCTGGGTTTGTTGGGCTCTATGTTGGGACTATTCCACTTTTAAAGAAAGATATTTCCCTCATTTTGAATGACAAAAATTCTCTGAGTCAGGAAACTCATCCATACTTTCCTTAAATTGGGGTGATGCCCTATCAGCAAGCCTCAAGCGGTACAATCCTAGTTTAAATGCCTGATTCTCCCCAATCGTCTTTACATTCTTACAAGGCACATTATTCTTTCGATGAACAAGACACAGCACCCTTCATAAAATAAAAATTAAATGCATTGAGTAGACTTTCTTTCATTTAATTTAAAGGACTCAAAATTTCTTTGATAGTCCAAATCTTTTCTGGGGTGGTAGTGACATGGCTTTCTTTTTAACTTTTGAAAATCTTGAACTCTTAATTCTTTGAATCCCAAATTCCAATTTAAAAAGTCCCTGTACTCTCATTACAAACTGATTTTGAGTGAGGATACTTTCACAAAGCTACACTTTCAGAATTAAGTTTCAGTTTAAAAATTTTTCCAAATCAGTAGTTATGGGGAGAGAGTAGGAAAGGGAGGAAATTTGGATATAAAATTCAACTTTCATTTCTTGAGCCCCTTCCATGTGTTGGACACTAAAATGGCTACTTTACATGAGACAATGACTTGAATCCATTAGTTCAACCATCCTCATAGTCACCATGAAATTATGGACTGGTGTTCCCATTTTGCAGACTGGGACACTGAAGTCCAGAGAGGTTTTGTGATTTTTCTCAGACTCACTCAATTAGAAAGATGCAGAATCAGCTTTTATAATGGAGGGTTGACAACGTTTAACAGAATAGCATCCATAAGATAGCTTAGACTAGAGTCTGCTGTTTAAAAAGGCCCTATCATGCACTAGTTATCATTATCAGGACTGGTGGCAACAGAGATGTGGGTAAGATGATGCTGGATTTGGATCTTGTTACTTAGGTGAATAGTCTATTTCGCATGTGACAAGCAGTCAGGTGTGATTTTGAGTGGAGACATACCGTGAGAGATGTGTCTGGGAAGAAAACCCATTTGTTAAGACCTTGAAAATCATGCTAAGAAAATTGAACTTAGTTTTCATTGATACTTTGTACTAACTGATGTCAAATCAGAGAGTAGCATGGCCACATTTCTGTCTTGGAAACAATTCTGACAGCAGAATGAAGGATGAGTTGAGGTCTAGAGAGAAAGAGGTGGGGACACTAATAAGAGGTAATTACAAAGGCTCAGGAAAAAATAATAAGACTCTAATCTGATATGAGTGAGACTCAAACAGAACAGCTGGGACAACAGGACTCTATGGAGGATCAAATGGGAATTCAAAAATAAAAACTGTCACATTGCTATCTTAAATGACTAGAAGAACACTGATGCTAATAACAACCACCAATAAGAAGAAGCTACGCATTGCATGGAAGGGGGCACATGACCTTATTTTAGGGCATTATGCTGAAGATGCTGGTGATTTTTCAGCTATTTAGGATCAGATCTGCTTGTCTCTAGGGCAGCCAATCCTGTTTCTATTTGCCAACATTATCTTCATCTTAGTTTGAATAATCGCAAGTTGAAGGGTCAAAGTTCACTATTGGTCATGAGTTGTTTTTCATACTGTCCTTGAAATGAAAGTCAAAATTCCGAAGGGCAAGTATAACAGAATTCTTTCATTAGTTTATTGCATATTTAATCTCCTTCCAGAATTTATTTGCATACTGTGATACAAACTGCTTATGTGTTTCCAACAGCTCTCTCTGCTCTTGCCCCTTTGGAATATAAAATGCTGACTTTATTTTCTGTATTGTTGTTCACCAGGATTCTGGAAATTCAGAAAAGGGATTATTTGGCTGTCCACTATGGCCATCTCTGTTTTGTCTGTCTGTTTGAACAAACAAACCTCTAGGGTTAAATGGTGAGTTCGGCCCTGGAAAAGCCATTCAATTTGAGATTTCCAAGATGCTTAACCTTCTCCCATTATTTATATATTTTTGCCTTTGTTTGTTTTTTGGGTTTCATTTTCTTTTTAATTAATCACAACATTGGGTCAGCCAGACCCATTAACAGCATTTCTCATTTAGACCTTTCAGAGATGCAGTTGCAGATGTAATTTAATTTGTTGACCCATGATCGATAGCAATTAATAGCATCTCTTTAATCTTGTTGAAAGGTCTGTTCTGGCCTCCAGTAGCCACCATCTCCAGGGAAAGGTATCCACACACTCAGGTAATTTAGCCTTCAGGCAATAGTTCCCCTCAACCGCCTACTTTCCTGGTGACTTAGTGTACATTTCAGAGATGGCCATTCTCTATAGCATTTTCAATTATGGTTCCAAATTTCATATAGGATCTATTATCATATTCCCCCCACAGTGGGCTCATCATGAAAATATGGGCCAAGAATGCTGAAAAGAATCCTAATTTTTTTAATTCAGAAAAAAAAAATAGATACAACTTTTTAAAGTGCACTATGTTAATAAAATAGATATTTCCTGGGACTTTTCCATGTTAGATAGTGGCTAACCAAGTCCCTGCGGTCCAGTCTTTTCATCTGTCATATTAATTAAAGGGTTTGTTCATTTATTCAATAAGCAACTCTCCAGATAGGAAAGGTGACACTGTGGCTGAACTGAATGTAGCATTTTTTTTTTTCCTGTTGCCAAGGAGCTTGCTGTCTGATGAGATGAACAAAGCAAGTCTGTACTAACAGAGGGCAGTGCCATGCTCTAAGCAGGAACAGGTACACCAGGAACATGAGTGAAAGTAACGCATCATCCTGGGCCTGTGGGAGGGCTTTCTGGAAGGTGGAACTCGTTACCTGAGTTTTAAAAGAGGAATAGGTCAGGTAAAGAAGGGAGAAAGTGACAGATGCCAGTTTATAAGGTGTAGTTTCTGCTGACACAGCTCAGAACATGTACCTGCCTCATTTTGCTAATAATGAAATCCAGTGAAACCAGTAAATATGTACCTGGCACAAAATCAAGAGCTTTGAGCAAGTTTTATAAAAAAAAATGTTTTAAAAAGCAAAGATGAGTCACCTACATATTGTTGTGGAATCATTTGTCTTGATAACACCAGCCCATCTTTTCTGTAGCCAATTCACTGGCCATTGGAATTCTTTCTCCTTTATCTACTTCAGGTACCCAGTATACTGCATTTTATCCAAAAATTTGTCCTTACCTCCCTTTAGTAATTTGGGTAATACCACCCCCTTCAGTTGTACTTGCATTCTTGGCGTCGTCTTTGAACTCCTACTTGGTACCAGGCTCAACGGTGGAAAGAAAGGAAAGTCTCAGAAAGCAAGAAAGAGATGCATTTTGGAGCAAGGATTTCTTCCCAAATGTATTGAAAATGTAAAATTTCAGAATGACCACCTGCTCTCCAAGCTCATAAGACTATTCTTAAAACCA